CTACTCAAGTAGCTTCCCAAAGAGAGCGGAGGTATGAAGATTTATGACCTGACTGCATGAACAGAGACTAAATGAACTGCTATTTAGCTTCAGCAAGTAATAGATCAGACTTTTTTGGGAGGCTGTTATCAAGGAGAAAGACTAATCTCAAAGCAGCATAGAACTTTGGTAACCCTGAAACACTGGAATTTTTATACTGTACCACATTTGAGAGGAATGGAAAATGAAACTAGCTCAAGACTTTAATGGAGAGACTTCTCTCTCTCAACTCTTGTTCTCCGACAAGTGGAAAAATCAGCTTTTTATAAATCAGAGACTTGAGAAGTCTGAATAACTCCGAACAATTCAACCTAAGTGACTCTGCATTGAGCTGCAAAGGTGGATTATAAATCAAACATCCTCATTACGGCTGGATTTACGACTGGAGTGGTCTTTGTAGGAGTCTGAGTTCGGGCTGGCCAAATAAATTATGAGGTGAACTGAGTAATTAACTTGTTTGACTTTTTGGCTCTGGACTGGGAAAGAAAGCCACATCTAGGAGACAGAGAGTGAGATTCATCATTAAACCTACAATGGAAGATTACTTCAAGAACTGTATTCACTTCAATTGAACATTATTAATCAAATTAAGGCCCAGATCTCAGACGTTAAGGCAGAAATTAAGGAGATACTGTCAGGTTTTAGGAATACCTGAAGGAATTGTTGGTCAAGTTTGCAAGAAAGTCTGTAAAAAAAGTCTGTAGAAAGAGTTGTTAAAAGTACTGCAGCTGTGATAGGAACAAGCTAACAGTTAACTCCAAGCAGCTGTGGAAACAAAATGCAGGAGAAGGCGGCTACAGAAGCTAATCTCCAATTGGCTGTAAGGCGAAATAAAGCTGACAGCCCCAGTACACTTGAATTGTGAGTTGAATGGAGAGAGGAAGGAAAAACTCTGCTGGGTTGATTTACAGAGCAGAATTTACTTTGGACACTGATTTATTGAATGGTAAATGGACTGACACTTTGAACTGTTATGTGAATGACCAAGGACTGATGAAAAGGACTAATCTGTATGTATTAATACTGGTACAACATTGATTCAATATATTTACTTCACTACTCTCAATACTGTCTGTCTTGTTTGCTGAAACCCTGAAGTGGATTAATCTCTGTGCAAGCACCCTCTATTCCGCAAAGCACCCTGTCAGATACTTTTTGGATTGTATGCCAAGGGGAAGAACAGGGAGACCCAAGACAAACAGATCGGAGAAACCAGTGAAGAACTGGTATCATCAGAGAGAGAGAGAGAGAGACTGTTTTCCTTAGAAAGCAAGATGAAATGCTCAAAAAGGAGAATAAAAAAATACAGTCGTGCCTCACTTAACGATTGCCCCGCATTATGACAAATCCACTTTACAACTATGTTTTTGCAATCGCAAAACGATGGTCTAAATGGGGGAATTTTGCTTAGCGGTGATCTGTTCCCTGCTTAGGGAACTGATTTTCACTTTACGACGATCAAAAACAGCTGATCGTCGGGTTTTCAAAATGGCCACCGAGTACTTAAAATGGCTCCCTGCTGTGCTTAGGGATGGATTCCTCGCTATATAGACACGGAAAATGGCCGCCATATGGAGGATCTTTGCTGGATGGTGAGTTTTTAGCCCACTGGAACGCACTGAATGGTTTTCAATGTGTTTCAATGGATTTTTTTATTTCGCTTTACGACATTTTCACTTAACAGCAATTTTCCTGGAACAGATTACGGTTGTTAAGCGAGGCATCACTGTAAATTTATATGAAAGGGATGGGCAAGTAGATGAGTGGGGAAAGTACATTAAGATTACCTTAATGGGAAAGAATGTAAAGGAGGAGGAATATGTCCGGGTGAAGCTGGAGACATATATGCATGGTTCCGAAGACAAGACATTAATCATATTGGGATGAAGTTAGTAAACTGGAGAGAAAATGGTTTAAAGAGATTTTATAGATGGCATTTTAAAGCTGGTAAAAAGAAGGCAAGAGGCTAATTTTGGATTTATTCTCTCTGGAATTAGGAGCTGTATGAACAAGCCCATGAAGGAAGACGGATGTTCCGTGCCAACCTCTCAAAGAGGCTTATAACCCAGTCAGGAGAATCACTGACAAGCGGGGATGGCGACCAGAGCTGCAGGAAGCCCTTTCTTCTTCCAAGGGCAAGCTAGGGCTGCTGTTGTTGTGCTACAAATAACCAAAAAGCCCTACAGCATCCACACCATCCACACTGCCTCCTGGTGATACGAGAGGCCCTGGTTGTAAAGGTGCACAGGAGCCACCTGCAGAATGGGTAGTGCCAACTTCCATAAGTGGTGATGATAAGCACCCATGGTAGTGGAGTAATTGGCTACACGGTGGCCAAAGAATAAAAACGCCGACCAAAGATATCCTTATCTGTGTTCTCTGTATCAGTTGGGAATATGAACAACCTTCTAATGGTAAAGGAGGGTGACTATCTGCGGCAACTGATATGGGTGTAGGAAGACTGGTTGGAAAAATCTTCCTCCCCCTCTGACTCTGGTGAGTCCCAACACAAATAAGTCCTTCTGACGATTAGGGGAGAAGTCTTAGCATGAGCCTGACCAAGATCAATCTCAAGAACAACCGCCGGGACAGAGAAGGCTGAATGGGTTAACAGCAGGTTCGGTTGAACCTGAGCATACTTTGCTGCCGGAGCCTAGTTCGAGGGATCATTACTCCTTCAAGGTGTAGGTGTAGGCACAAAGTGTTCCTCGGCCTGTGGCTCAGAACAGTGCCAGGTAGAGTGGGGAGTTGGTGGTGGCAAAAAAAGGGGAGCTAAGGCTCGTAGCTCCTATCCGAAAGAAGGACTGGTCCTGCTTAAACTTGTCAGCGTGTTAGGACCCTATTGATCAGCAGGAAAAATACTTGGGTCTGCCTGACAGCCACAGGATTCCTGTGATTGGGTCGACTCCTATGAGCCTAAGCTGGTGCCAGCGGCTGAGGTAAGACCACAGGCTGTGTGTGAATGAGCCCATTAATAAATGAGGGCTGTTTCGTGTCAATTTATCAACCTCCAAAAAGGTGTTGCCCCAGACAGGAATATCACTGACAGGTGAGAACTGCAGGGGGCCCTTCCTTTCCACAAAGGCAAAGCCAAGGCTTACCATATGTTGCCAGGATATCTTCGGCCTCGGCTCCCAGCTCTCTCCAGACTTATCAGCTGTGAGAATTAGCCCATTTGATGAAGGAGGGCTGTTTTGAGCCAAATTACCAACCTCCAAAGAGGTTTTTACCCCAGGAAGGATATCACTCACAGATGGGGAAGGTGGCAGGAGCTGCAGGGGGCCCTTTCTTCTCCTAAGGGCAAAGCTAGGGTTACCGTATGTTGCTGGGATATCCCCGGCTTCGTTGCCGAACTCTCTGCAGACTTAGCTCAGATGCTGTCTTCTTCTTTTTTGACATGAAGAGGAAGATTGCAAAGAGGTGGATAGCTGTTGCTCTTGAACCTGGAGGTAGCCTTGTTAAGAAGATAGAAGAGACTCTTTTTTTTAAGAGAAAAGCCATGAAGGCTCTAAAAGCTTTGTAAAGCTCTTACACAACACCAGCTGGTGTTCTTCCCCCAGGCAGAAGAAACAACTTGTTACTGAAGAAAGAACAAGGAATAAAATTGCTTTTCACTTGGGAAGTTCTTAACGAAGCTGCTGCTACAGAGGACAGTTGAAAAAAGAACTGTGGCACTATGTCCTGGGGGCAGAGTCATATTGCCGGTGTAGGGGAGGTCCCGGCACCAAGTGCTTAAAGCTATAGAAGCTTTCAAGACTGCTCTGCTCAGGCGCAGATTAACCCATTAGTGTGCATTCACAGACACCACGAAGGAGAAACAAGAAATACAGATTGCTACGGCTGGTCACTTACAGTAAAATAAACTGAAAAAGAAGGGCAGGTGGAAGAAAAACGCATTGGTTAAAGAACTATTTTGAGCTGCCATACTGAAACTCTGAATAGCTATGAAGATCTCCAATCTCTGGTAGGAAAAGAATAAAATGAAAGGTGCCAAAGCTACAGCAGCATCCTGTTCAAAAAATGACACCCACTCCCACCTTGCCTCAACTCCATAGAGAAATGGCTAGTTAGGATCCTTGGCTAGCACAAAATTTACCAACACTAGAATTTCAGAATCACTTCTAAACTTTCTTGCTTATGCTGTGGAGTGCAGTTCCTTTTTTCTTTTCAAAATGCTGCCACAACTGTTTTGTTGCTGCAAAGGTAAACAGGACTTCTGCTATGTTATACACTGTTGAGCACTGCATTATGCTACTCAAAGAGAAGCGGGTTTGGTTAAATTGCTGCATATCACTCCAGGTTGTCAGAAAAGTGTACACCTCATTATTGGCACACATATTCCAAACATGTTCAAAGTAAACACTACAGTATGTGAACACATACCTTATTTCCCTGAAAACAAGACCTAACCTGAAAATAAGCCCTAGGATGATTTTTCAGGATGCTCATAATATAAGTCCTACCCCAAAAATAAGCCCGTTAAGTGAAACCCCACCTTCCACCATTGTGCAGCAGCCAGAAGATGGCATGACTATATTTGAATATATGTATGTAGATTGTTGTACATGAACAAAAATAAAATATCCTCTGAAAATAAGCCCTAATGAATTTTTCAGAGCAAAAATTAATATAAGATCTTGCCTTATTTTCAGGGAAACACGGTATTAGGGGAAACATGGATGTAGGCAGAGAAGAAAATCAGATTTTCTGATTTAGAACATTTTTCTAAATTAGGAGTGGGCAAGTTCCAAGAGTCTAGGGGACAGCTTTATGCCCTGTAGACCCAGTGCATGCTGCACAACTCCTGAAAAGTAGAAAAGCCAACCCCACCCCACCCCTCTTGTTCAGGGAGGATAGAGGTTGAGTCAAACAGCTGCTCTGGAAAGCCTAAAGTACCAGAAAATTATTAGTAGTATTATTGCTACTGTTACTATTTTTTAATTGAAAAACCAAAGACACACCTTTTGCTACCAGTGGATCGAATTATGGTTTTGCAATGCGGAGAATGTTGATTACTCAGCTGGTCACTGATTTGCCTCCTGTCACTTTCATCTGACTTCTCCTCCTTGGACATATAGCCTTTCTTACTTGGACCTTTGTGAAAGATTGAACATCAAAAATTTATTGCTAGGATTGAAGAATGTAACTTCTTTTTACCATTATGTATAACATTGGTTTTTGAAAAATGTACTGGTTTTCAATGCAATGCTTAATAACAACACTCTAAATTTTCCTGTTCCTCATCTTCATTAAATATCATCTACTTTCCCATGATTAGGGCATCTGTTTCTTCTGACAAGGTGCATCTCCTGTACAAAGCATACTAGAGACTAGCTTACTTGTGCAGTGTAAAAGACCTGACCAAAGATAAGTAATTTCTGTTGCATATAAGTACAGTGGTGCCTCGCATAGCGACGATAATCGGTGCAGCAAAACTCGCTGCAAAGCGATTTCGTCACTATGCGATTTTTAAAAGCCCATAGGAATGCATTGAAACCCCTTCAATGCATTCCTGTGGGCTTAAAACTCACCTTAAAGCGAAAATCCTCCATACGGCTGCCATTTTCGCTGCCCGGTAAGCGAGGAATCGGTGCAAAAACACAGCGGGTGGCCATTTTGTTTACCCGGTGGCCATTTTGGAACCGCCGATCAGCTGTTTAAAAAATCATCGCTTTGCAATGATCGGTAAGCGAAACAGGGTACCGATCATCGCAAAGCAATTTTTCCCCCATAGGAAACATTGCAATGTGATCGCAAAAGCGATCGCAAAATCTTCGTCGCTATGCGGTTTCGTCGTTAAACAGGGCACACGTTAAACGAGGCACCACTGTACAAGTGTCCTGCAAATCTAGCATTCTTGTCATGTCAACTCAAGTGGCAGAAATTTACTAGATCTTTAAACAGTTGTATTGACGTAACATACTAAGCCCGTGGTTGCTAACCTTGGGTAACCCAGATGTTCTTGGACTGCAACACACAGAAGCCTTCACCAATAACTATGCTGGCAGGGGTTTCTGGGAGTTGCAGGCCAAGAACACCTGTGTTACCCAAGGTTAGGAACCACCGCATTAGGCTATGGCTTAGAGCAGGGGTCTCAAACATGCGGCCTGGGGGCCATTTGCAGTCCCCCAGATGATCCTTTGTGGCCCTCGCCTTGCCTGCCCCCCCAAAGCACCCCCACATCCTCTGCTGTCAAGAGTAAAAAAAAAAAGCCTTGCCTCGCTCGCCGGCTCTCTCCCAAGACAGCACCTCTTGCACCCTCCATCCAGAACTGCAGCCTGCCAGCCAGCCCACCTGTCTGTCAGCTAAGAAAACTCCTGGGTGGCTTCTTCGGGCTCTTGCTCCACTTCGCGGAATATCTGATGCGGCCCAGCCTCACCCAGACTCTGCCTCTAGTAGCCCCCAGGTAAATTGAGTTTAAAGCCCCTGGCTTAGAGATATGTAAATAATCCAAGCTACCCCTGACCCCACTCAGATGTTGCATCTCATTGTCTTCTCCTTTTGAGAAGGAGTACTGAACATCTATGTTGCTACTGTATTTTGACTTTGCCATATAGACTTAGAACTGTGGCTATTTTAAACAAGTCAGCTCTTTAAAATCATGGTTTACAGTTACTTGACCCACTATTGATAATTAACCATAGTCTGCTGGGTTCAGACAACACATCAAGCTGTGTTATGAAAAGCTCAAAACTGCCCCTTGGGAGACATTGTGCAAGTAAGCATTTTGATATTTCTAACTTTCAGAAAATGACTTACTTGGTTTCTTCTTATGCCAAAATGTCACTATCTCTTTGTGCAGGCTTTTTGCTTTCTTTCTTGCTAAAACAGCTGATGCCTAAAAGATAAAATATCATGGAAGAGTCTAGTCAGGATCAGAAAGCCATATAGTGATTATACAGCTGTGATGGAGTGTGTGTGTGCTACTTTGGCAAAGGGCTATTACTCAGATTGGCGACCCAAGGTGGCTTGGCCAAAATGACTGCTTCTTTTTAATAGATTATAGTTTTTAGCTCTTCCATGAGAACTAAACATTTTAAGAGTATACAGTGGTGCCCCACATGACAACAATAATCCGTTCTGGGAAAATCGCTGTTAAGTGAAATCGTCAACATGCGAAAAGCCTTTCCCCATTGAATGCATTGAAACCTGTTTAATGCATTCCAATGGGGAAAATACCTCATCGTCTAGCGAAGATCGCCCATAGGGAAGCCATTTTGCAAGCGCCGATCAGCTGTTAAAATGGCTGCCCTACGAAGCATGGGTCCGGAAAACACAGGGCAGCCATTTTAGGAAGCCGACGATCGTCGGAAATAATCATCGTCTTGCGAATAAACGGTCCGCGAAGCACGGACCTAATCGACGTCCAGTGGAACTCCCCCATAGGAATGACTGTTCTGCGAATCGCTATAGCGATCGCAAAAAGTCACTGTCATGCGGTTTCGTCGTACAGCGGGGTCACCGTCTAGCGAGGTACCACTTAATATGCAAAATTATGTAATATATAAATATAAATGTTTAAATGGAAATTTATATGTAACACATGCATTCTGTAAAAAATATATAGAGAACGAATACATATTTCCATATGTAACTTTAGAATTTATTTACAGATGTTGTTATTATGTGCCATCAAGTTGAAACAAACTAATAGGTCTCTCAAGGTGACTTCACTCTCCAAGATGTCTGGCTCTAGGTCAACAACCACACTATCTGGGTTGTCCGGGATATCCAGATCAAATCACAATTTAAATTAAAAAAAATATTTTTATTAAAATACTGTAATAAAAAAATTAAATTTAAATTGTGATATAAATTGTCCTTTAAATTGATTTAAGTCAAATCCATCCTGCTACAGAGCCTTTTTATTTATGAGACTGAACACTGTCCCTTCAAGGGAGATGAAAGGAAGACTATCAAGACAACCTTATTCCAAGAGAATATATCCATGTAAAGCATAAGTCTGGATACATTTTTACATCTTCTGTGTTCTTGTCCATTTTATACAACTGCAACATATATCCAGTCCTCCAAGACTACTGAACCACCTCCATGCTTTTTTTATTTTTATTTTTTTGCTGTTCAAGAGTTTTTCATGAGCTACTAAGGAAGGAAAGGAATCACATGCCCAAGTTATTCTAGTTCTAAGGTGCTGCAGCTTGGTACAGTAAATGACAAAAACTGCCCTTCAGCACACTACAATTCACTTTTGATAATAAGAGTCCTAGTAACAACCTTGTTCTAGTAGAAAACATAAGAACCCACCTGAAAAGACAAGATATCTGATTCCTAGCTAAGTCACAATAACAGCACACTGAAGGTCAGGGATTTTGGCCTTGAAAGGTGGTGAGTATCTTATAAAGCCTCTATCTATTAGTCAACTTCAACTTTTACACCATTTAACTTACTCTAGAGAGGGGATATCTTAAAATTTCAGACTGCCCAAATAACTCAGAGAGGCAATGCATTTACTTTCAGTAAATATCAAACAACTATCATTTTCTAACTGTTTTCCTGGCACAATCTGTTATTACTTTTTCCAAATCTTTTTTCTTAAGATTATAATTTCTAATAAATGAAATGGTGAACAGGTGCTGGATACTGCCAGTTCTTATAAACGTTACAATAATTCATTCTACAATACAAGACATATTCAATTGTTATCTAAATGTGTGCAGCCCATATGGACTAATGGAATGGTGCTAACCCTGTTTCTCCCTGTGTCATTTGAATACTTGTTTCTTGGAGTTTGTGTGTAATGTTCTGGCTATTATGAAAAGCCTACATAGACAAAATGGTCTCCTCTACTTCAGACTGTCACTTTAATGTGTTTCAAAGGCAAGGATGGATTATACCATTGGACCAGAAATATATGCAAGAAAAGAAACAGCTTTTGGCTCTAGAGAAGTCTTCCTCAGGCTGAACATTAATGAGCTGAGAGGTGAAGAAAAACCACAAAAATTCTAAAGTTCAGGGCCAAATGTGCAGGCCAGGTTCCTTCCTGCAAAGAAATTTCAAATTTGGGGCTGCAGAATTCGGAAATGGGAGGTTTCAGATTTCACCTCTGGTTATATGGATAAGATGCCCCAAATTTTTATATGTGTTGAAATAAACAATTGAGAGCCCAGGATAACCCCCTAAACATGTATGTTATGCTGCAGACAATTAGAGAGTGAGTAGGACTTCAGTTAGGAAAACTGAAATACCAATAATTTTATCAGGACATACCCGAAATATTTATCTGTGTAATCTAGTTTGTGGTCAAAATTACCCAACCATTGAATAACTTCTTGATCAATTTTAGACGTAAAAGGCACTGGAAGGAATATCAAACAAACCCAAACATATAATAATCTATATATGCAAATAATATTTAAAAACTTACATGATCGTAACATTGTATAATAGCCAACTTTTTATTTCGGTTTGTACGAATACGCTGGATTTTAATAAACTTCTTAAAATGATTCTCCAGAACACTTCTGTCATTTAGACAGTGAGGAATATTTTTGCACTGAATGGCAGTAAGTTCACTAGATGGCATGCCTCCAAGACTCTCTGTGCTTCCACTACTCCGATTTCGATGCAAGGGTTTGGATACAACAGATTCTGGAAAACAAAAAATCCTTTCAGTATATCAACTACAAAATACAGTGGTGCCTCGCTTAACGATGTTAATTGGTTCCAAAAAACCCATCGCTATGGGAAACATCGTTAAGTGAAACACCATTTCCCATAGGAATGCATTGAAAACCGGTTAATCCGTTCCAATGGGAATGGATTAACGTCCTTAAGCGAAAATCCCCACAGGAAACATCGCTAAGTGAAACAATGTTTCCCCAACGGAAAGCCATTCAAAAGCACTGAAGGCGGCTTCAGTGCTTTTGAATGGCTTTCCGATGTCCGTGTTTGCTCATTTTTAAGTGTCTTACAATGTTTGGAACATGTTTTAAATGGTTGGAATAGTTAGTCCACCTTATGAAACCTATGCACACTTAGTTTGGCTTTCCTCTGAGTCTTCGTTAATTTTTGGTGATTTTTTGTTTTTTCCCTCATGGATTTCAATGAGGGAAAAAACAAAAAATCACCAAAAATTAACAAAGACTCAGAGGAAAGCCAAACTAAGTGTGCATAGGTTTCACAAGGTGGACTAACTATTCCAACCATTTAAAACATGTTCCAAACATTGTAAGACACTTAAAAATGAGCAAACACGGACATTGTTAAGTGAAATTCCCCCACAGAGAACATCGTTAAACGATGCTGAAAATTCCTCAAAGAAACACATCGCAAAGCGAATACATCGTTAAACGAGGCAATCGCTAAGCGCGGCACCACTGTAATATAAATAGAGCAATAGCAAACACTCAGGCTAATATGTTGCCTAAATGTGAAGTAGAAGGGACGCTGTGTAAACTTCTGTCCTGGTATGGCAAGCTTCCCATTGCATAACTGTTCTGTCTGGGGAACCTGCCAGAACCAGGAGAAGTCAGGCAGCAGGATACTAGTTCTATATTTTAAGACCAAATATATCAACATTCTAGACATAATATGCAAAGTAACACGTAAAATATACTGAAACTTGAAACTGAATTGATTGTAATGCTTGAATGTTTCCGTTTACTAGTTCTTGCTACTTACCCTCTTTCAGTTTCACTTTATTTTCTTCCTTTCTCAGTGCTGCCGCTGACACAGGCATTGGAAAATTCAATTGGCTTCCTGCAGCCACATTTGTATCTTCCATTTCTCCAGATTCTATTGAAACTCTTTCCAGCTTGGATTCTTTCTTATTGCTTCTCAGTACATCTTGCAATGTTCTATTAAACAAGCCTCTTGTAGGTGGCCGGTTTAGCCTGACTGGACGTTTACTGGAAAAATGATCACCCCTCGACAGAAGTTCTAGTTCGTCTATAGAATCATAATCATGCCGTCTTGGTGAATGTTCCTGTTCTTCTTTTCTTTTCATTCCTTTCCCAAAGATGGGAAGTGGCTCACTTGTAACTGGTAATTCTTCACATTCAGCTTTGTTTGTCTGGAAACTATCTCCCACAGGCAATGACCCAGTAGATGAGCTTGAAAATGAGGTAAAGCTACTACTAGGACTTCCAAAGAGAACTATAGGTCTTTTTTTATCATCCTCTGCTGTGTTGTTTGGTAAAGGAGCATTGAATGAAGATGGTAAACTGCTACTGCTTACTGGCTTTGAAAAACTGAAACTTGTACTAACTGAGCTGCTACTTGCTTGAGAAATTACAAAGGAGGCTAGTCTTCTAGGTTCGCTAATACTTGGAGAGGAAAATGTGAAAGATCTCTGAAAGGGTGGATTGGTTGACTTATCTTGTTCTGAACCAGTGCCAAAGATAGGCTTGAACACCGCATTCTCAGGAGTTTTGAAGCTGAAATCTGGTCTCACAGAACCACTACCTGAAGTTTCTCCTGATGTAGCCCCAAAGCTAGAAGGACTCTGACAAGTTCCAAGAGTTGTAGGTGATTTAAAATTGATTATTTGTTTGCTTGGCACAGAAGAACTGGTTACTGCAGACGTCACAAGGGATGTAGCTTGTCCCAGGGAATAGGACTGTGTAAATCCTGAATGTTGCCCAAATCCCAAAGAGCCATGAAGTCCTGAAGTTACAGTGAAATCAGGTAGATTTGTAAACCCAGGATTCTTTAACAACTCTCCACTGTTTTCCCCAAAAGGAGAGACTTGGCCAAGTTGGAATGATGGCTGAACAGGAAAGACTGCAGATGACCCATCAGATGTTGTCTGGAAAGCTCCAGACTGCTGCCCACTGAAATGAGTATTTGGATTCATTTTCTCAAATATTTACTCAGTACCTTCCAAAACAAATTTCCAGGTTTCAGCTCTTGGCCTAGTAACCTGCAACACAAAATATAAGCAACTCACAGTCCAATATAAAAGTAGTCCTTTATAATAAACATTTATCCAGGAAAGAATTATATTGTTCAGCAGTACCATCCACATTCATTAGTGAGGCATACTATTAACAGTGAATTACACCCATGTTTCATCCTGCTATCATATCTGCAGCTCTGTAATGACAATAAAACAGATTTTGCTCATCAACTCTTCATCAAACTATATGGGAAATATTCATTACTACAACATTTCTCTCTCAACACATTTGACCATGGCATAAACTGGATTGAATTATTATTTTATATATATACTTGGTACTAGATTATTTCTGGATTGAATTCACCATGGTTTATGGACAAACAATATGAAATGAGAGAGCAAAAATGTTATAATAATAACAGCAACAATAATTATTATAATTATTGTTATTGTTATAATGTTTTATATTGTTATAACATGTTATTGTTATCACCTAACAGTAAATCTACCAAAACAAATGACATTATTTGGCTAAACAATATTTCTGATATCCATGAACCTCAATAAAATGCATACTCAGTGCACACATCTCTGGTTTAGCTTTCCCACCTCCAATCTCAACTTCCCAAGGATTCCTCTCTTTTCTGCTATTATTTCTGAGATTTAAAATATTTTTCAGAATGTTAATTCATGACAAAATTAGATAGAGGAAGATTAATTGGGCTTCTCTTTCTTGTTTTCTAATGACTGATTTCAGATTGAAGTGGTAAATGTGTATTTGACCTATGCTCACATGGCTAAAAATACTCCTCTATCTTAAGAGAATGCTTTGCACAAGATACATGGCCTGGACACAGTACAAGCCATCTTTTTCAGAGATACAGTATGCTAGTTCCATGTAAGCAATGCCAGTGCAGCTTCAATCACACCAGCCCCTGCATCCTGGCAAGTCATTTAAACTAGAAACATGTTTGTCACCTGAACAGTCAAGAACTAGACAAGGTCTCCTTATGGATTTTTTCAGAACTACTGAAATAATTGTGAAAACAGCTAACAACAGAAGCAAGGCACTGAGCTCTGAACATTTCCATCACTCCCATTCCTAAATAACTCAAAATCGTACTTAGCTAGCAAAGCCAGTATGGCATGAGGCTCTTTCCCACTTTCAGCTTAGCCTCCAGAACTCACCCCAAAGCTGACGTTCATTGACAGGATCCAACCGAAGCCGGCACAAAGACAGTACTTCTGAGTTTATGTAGAGTGCATTTCTCTTACAAGGCGAGAAATTAAGTTTTAGTCGCCAAAGATATTTTTTGACGTCAACAAATCGCCTTCCGACAATACGATCTCAGCACCACCCAACTCCACCTCTCAAAACAAAAGACAACTAGAAAGCAGCTCGGGACTCGACCGGAGCGCATGCGCACAAGCCAACCTCAGTTCAAAAGAAGCCGGGGTTACATTTTACGTCGCAGGGTTACTAATTCACCCAAACGAACGCCCTGGATTTGTTTTGTAGAGACTTATAAATAGCACAATTCACGCCGAGGACTCACTTTTCTTTCCTCCTGAAGCAGAAGCGAGGGTTGCTAGTGGGGAAAAAATAAAGAGTAATTTAAGATTTTAGCCTGCCCCTGAGTGAACGCAGAAATCCCCCAAAGACAGCCGCAAATATAGGAGTGCTTCTAAACCAGGCCTCGTCGATTCCTTAAAATGTGCCCCACATTTAAAATAGCAACATATATGAATGCAGCAAAGGAACTCAAAGGCAGTAATTTGAAGAAATTAATAAAATTAAAATAAATACATTTAAATAGGCTGCCGCTCTTTTCTGAATTTCTCAAATTTTTAATGCGTTCTGTATTCCTCGCGCGAGACGGCGGGGCAAGAGGGGAGCCAGGAAGGCGGCCTCGACCCGGTAGCTATCGCGACGTACCCTATATACGTACTTAGTTGTGGCCCTGGAAAATGGCCTCCGTCCTCCCTCCCTCCCTCTCTCTTTCTCTCAGCATCTATTCTACGACGCAAGACCTTCTCTTACCGGAAATCATTTCGAGTTGGCGCCGGAAGTGCTCACTAGAGCTGCGCCGCCAAAGGTCCCTTCATTTTGTATCCTCCAAAGAAATGGCATGAATGATTGATGAGTTCCTGGCGGCTCTTCTCTCCGTCCGTTGCCGGTGTTTTTCGTGATCCGAGTCGTGGTGCCACACATTTCAGGGACTCGGCGGGGGTGACGTTTCGTTTTTGCAGCGTCCTAGCCTTCCACACATACACACCTTGAAGCGTCTTTGCCGACCCTGGTCAGGACGTGCTGGGTGCTTTATGTACAAGAGGAGACGCACAGAGACCATTGAGCTAAGAGGCCCTCGCTCGCCTCGACTAAGGTTGGAGCTGGAGAAGCGAAACAAGGCCGCTCTAAGTAATATGACCAACGACTACCTCAGCTAAGGTATAACGATTCCCTCTAGTTATCAACATGCCACCCCACATTTCCCAAGTGAAAGTTGGAAGGTGACTATATTACCATTGTTTTCATATCGACGCCATTCCAAGACTTGTCACTGCACTGGGAAAGATTTTATTTCGTGTTGTGCCACCTTATTATAAAATATTCTGTAACAGCCAAGAATTGTGTTTTTTCTTTCTGCTAGAAAAAACGCCATTGCCCAACAATCCCACATTTCAGAAAATGCCTGCAATATGTAAAATCACGCCTGTAATTGTAATATTGAATCTGCTTGAACATAAAAATGTCAGATTGCACTGTTTGTGTGTGTGTGTTTTGTTTTTTTGTTGTTGCTTTTTGGTAGATGTATGCATGAAACAAGATGCATTCATTAATCTGCCTTCTGCTAACCTTGGAGAGAGAATTGAGGTATGATGAATGACAAGCACTTTACACTAATGAAACTTCAAAAAGGTCAACACTAAAAATCAATATAATAGATTACCACAGATGGTTGAAATTTAAAAGTACAGATCAAAGACTGGCTTGATGAAACATTTGGCTGTATTGCTACTCCATATTTTTCAGGCTCTTTCCCTGGAACCAAACAGATTCACCCTGCTTTTCCTTTGTTCTGTAGAGGCCATACTCTAAGTCTTATTAGGTTGACAGATCTTAGTTCATAGGCTGTGTTCATTCTGTCCTAGAACCTGAGCTTCATAAGTTGTTCCCTCAATGTGATAAACATCTGTTACTCATAGTAGCATTAAAATGAATATTGCAACTTAATTTCCGTAGATCCATAGTCTCTAGTAGTTGTCACTGATCATGATGGTTATTTCTGAAAAGGTGCTTTTATTTTGGCAGGACTTTGCAGGGCTTCCCTTTCGAATAAGATGAGCTTGATCATACGTAATCTTCAGCAAACAATATCCATCAGGAGGGTGCCACTTCGCAAGAAGACAGAACAATTGCGTTGCATTTTGGGAGTGCAGCAGTTTGATCTTGGTCTTATATGTGTTAGTAACAGACACATACAGTGGCTCAATAAAACTTATAAAGGGAAGAATATCCCTACTGATGTCTTAGCTTTTCCTTTTCACGAGGTAAATTCTTTGCTTATTTATTCTCCAGCTCAGCAAGTCTGATGTTTGTTCTAAAAGCAAAAATAGGATGCTAGTGATGATTCATTACTAATGTTGATATATGGAGATGACTGAGGACCTTTCACAGATAGGTTAAGACTTGAGAGTCTGAAAGTCCCCCCATAAGAATCTCCAGTCTTGCAGATGAAAACAAATATAGCTTCTTCTATAGCTGTGTTATTCTAAATACACACAAGCTGCAAGAATGAAAATTGACCAGCATGATCATAAATGATTAAATAAGAAAATATTCCTTGTAAATTACTCCAAGCTTTTTATCTGGCCTTAAAAGTAAGGGTTCACACTTTGCAGTTTTGTACAAAAATATTAAGAAGGGAACTAATATTCCATTTACATAATCATATAAAGTACTATATTAATAGTCCTGTGGAGGTGTGTAGATTTGTACTTTTGGTCTCTGTCTCCCACAGTTCTATGAGCAGCAATGGTTCATGTGGAATTTTGGGATATATTGTCAAAAGCAAAAACTGCACACCTCCATAGTGTGGTTGTGCGGCCCAGGAACAATGTTAAATGTTTTTACTAGGATATAACCTGCATGAAATGGTTTTCCAAAGACTGCATGTATGCTGCATCCTAAACATATTTAGCCAGTAATAAGTCATTGAAACGTTGCTGGATTTATACAGTGAGAAAATGGGTATGCAGAGTTTCAGTTAAGATCCTTGGTCCACAATTAATGTCAGTGGATCCTGTGGGAGGATTTAGGCATGAATATTTTACTATCTCTTATATTTGTAATATCCAAAAATGTTTTACTACAGTGCATGCCATCTTTTTGATAACTATTATTAGTACTCAAAAGTTTTGCTAAGAGTTATCTGTTTGGACCTGTTATCTTCACAGAATTTGAATATAAATGAACTGCCATATCCTTCTACTCGTGATGAATATGACTTGGGAGACATTTTTCTAGGTGTAGAATATATCTATCAGCAATGTAAGGAGTACAAGGAAGATTACAACAATGTTCTTACTGTATGTACTTATTTACTAATTCAGTCATTGTAGTAGTCGAGCTACTGTTTATAAGAAAATTCTTCACAGAGTGTAGTAGTAGTAGTAGTAATGAATGTACATTCATTGTCTTGCCCCAATTACTGAATTGGAAAACAGTTATGGTAATAAAATACTGTGGGATCACATAAACACCATCCACCTAGTGATAGAAGTTTTGCCTTTTTGTAATGAACTGCAACAATCATCAAGTTAACCTCAAACTTTCTTGCTTATAGATGAAGCTGTGTTTACCTTTTCATTTTCAGTGGTTCCCAAACTTGAGTCCCCAGAAGTTCTTAGAGTAAAAGTCTCATAAATCCTGGCCAACACAGCTAGTGGTGAAGCATCCTGGGTGTTTTAGTCGAAGAACATCAGGGGATCCAAGGTTGGGAACCACTGGCTTAGAGCACAATGTATGCTACACAAAATGTTTCTTGCCTCATTTTCTTTCACATCTGAATTTCCTGTAAGACCTGATGGTAGATCAAGATCTTACTAAATGAACTGTTCTTTCTAATGCTATCCATGAGCTTTGCTGTTAAAACTTTTTCCCACAAGCTGTTTTTGGGCACTGTTTTCTGCAAATCTAATATTTTTGTGAGATCAAAAAGTAGTTATTACAACAGAAATGTATAATACTATGGTCCTCGACACCATAAAATGAGTACAGCTGATGCTTTCATTAGACTTCTCAGTGCTGAACCAGAACCATTGACAGGAAGGTCACAGTGCATGTTCCTTGGCAGAAGCTGTTTCTACTAGCAGAACGAGGCAGGCAACCCTCATTCCTCCTGAAGCCAAACCTGCATGCCCTAAAAACCTCTTTTGGAAGACTGGGGAAATTCACCAGGGCAGATTTTTCAGTGCTATGGAGGACTGTGCTAAGAAGAGAAGGAGGGGGCTGAAAATCCCAATGTCATTTCTCTTTAGCACCATGGATTGGAATAGTTATGCTAGGCACAGTATCCCATCGTACTGCAATAGCGTCACTGAAAACTGAAAAAATCATAGTGAAAATGGTTCTATCAAGTGTGGACATTCCTGCTTGTCCTTTTCAATAATTGTCAGTTATTTAAAATATTTGTTTTGAGGTCTCTTCTGCATCGTGCTTTTCCAGAGTGTTAAAATTATTTTTCCTGTTTCTCTTTGGGCAGGTGACTGTTGCCCATGGCATGTGCCACTTGCTTGGATATAAACACAACACAGAAGCAGACTGGCTACAGGTATGTTTTTCCCTTCATCAGATAAATATTCTTTTTGTCATTTAAAATTCCAACATATTTAATGGCTGAGAAACCGTTGTGCACCGTGTGATTTTTAATTTGACTGTTCAGTATGAGAAATTGACAAATGTGTATTTCTAGGACCAGATGTTATTTGGAAGGAAAAGTATGCATTAACTGTTGGTGTATTCTTTTCCAGATGTATGAAAAAGAAATTCAAGTTCTTCAGGCACTAAACAAGTTGTCAGGAACAAACCTCCAACCACTGACCAAAAATCACTTCTAGTGGTGCTATCTGTATGGTGCTTCAGAAATAAAAGTAATAAATGCTGTATTTTTTGTTTTATTATTAAGTAATGTTTATTCATAAGTATCTACTGCCCAGTTCACTAAACAGTGAATAGAAAACCAAAATGGAAAACAGTTTACTTTGATCATGAATTCAAAGTGTGGTTGTCACTTCTAAGAATGTGACCATTCTTCACCATAAAGAACTTGGGCTGAGCAGTCATTTGATTGGAAAAAGTAAAGTTGGGAGAGAGAGAGCCAAAGAATAACGTTCCTCTTCTGATTCTGTGTAAAATAAGAAGAGCTTCTGGGAAAAGGAAACAAGGAGAGAACTAGTTTTTTCCTGTGTCTGGGCTAATAGTAGTGGGCATGCTTGCTTAGCTTCTTGTCCACTCTTAGGTTCTAGTCTCTAGAGAAGAGATTTTTCACTGTCAGGTTCTTTATAATGCTTACTTTCTAGAAGCCACCTGGCAGAGGGCCTGCAGCAAGAGAAAAGGAAGATCTCAAATAGGCTTTGTAAAGATGCAAAAAATAATAATAATAACAGTTGAAGACTTTTTTAAAAGCTATACAGAGGTGCCCCCACATAGTGACGATAATCCGTTCCGGATAAATTGTCACTATCCGGATCATACTAGAGTAGGTCCTACTGTGTAACCTACTTTAGCAAGTACAGTAAATTGGAGGAGGTGATCCAGCAGTGGTTTTTGATTATGAAATGTCCACGTGCACTACTGTCTCAAGGCTCCCAAAGTCTTCCTCAGGACAAAAGAAACCTAAAGAGCCTTGGAACCTAAAATGGGAAGCCTGATGGCATCATCAAGTTCTACTGGTGTAAATTTACACCAACAGGATTTTAGCCAGTGTGTGTACTAGGTACTATCCAATCACATCTGATGTATGGTGGCCCTAATAGAGTTTTTAAAGTATGTGAAGTATTTAAGGGGTGGTTTCACCAGAGATTTTCAATCCAGATCTCATGAGTCCTAGTCCCTTTTTCTATCCATTACACTGCATCAGTTCACAGTAAAATCTCAAGAGATTATGCTACATCATCCAGGTCACAGTTACAAGGGTCACAGTTACAAACTCCTAATCAAATCACTGCAAAAGTATATAAAAATTATTGTAAAGGTAAAGGTTCCCCTTGACAATTTTTGTCCAGTCGTGTTCGACTCTAGGGGGTGGTGTTCATCCCTGTTTCCAAGCCATAGAGCCAGCGTTTTGTCCGAAGACAATCTTCCGTGGGCACATGGCCAGTGCAACTTAGACACGGAACGCTTTTACCTTCCCACCAAGGTGGTCCCTATTTATCTACTTGCATTTGCATGCTTTCGAACCGCTAGGTTGGCAGGAGCTGGGACGAGCGACGGGCACTCACTCTGTCATGTGGATTCGATCTTACGACTGCTTGGTCTTCTCACCCTGCAGCACAGGCTTCTGCGGTTTAGCCCACAGCGCCACCACGTCCCAAAAATTATTGTACTATAAAATAATAGAAATAACTATTCCCCAACAAAACTGTCTCAGAAACACATACATTAGTTTCAAGAAAGGCTATGGTTCGAAGATACCACATCCAGCAGCCTCTATGCAAAAATGAAGCTGGGATGGTTTGCATGGCTCTGCTCCTAAAGGTGTGTTTAGACTGCAGAAGGCCTAGCTTTTTGTGAAGGCCTGAATTAAATGCCACAGATGGCTTCGATGGCTCCCATTTGAATAAAACAAACAAGATTAAAGTATTAACAAAGGCAAAAAAGTCAAAACTATTGTTACAAACAGAGCCTCTTTATTGTAGGAGCTATGCAGACTGCTGCTCAAGTGTCAAACACAAACTGCAGACTTGCTACATTTAGAATCCAGTTCATTCTGACAGGTTCAGTCATAAAACTTGAGCAATTATGTAGAGTGGCATGTGTGACATCCAAATCTCCCTAAGGAGAGTATGGCGTTCGGTCAGGGAGTCTCTTAGGCTCCAGATCTATCACTTTGTACTGAGTTAAGTCCTCAAGCCTCAGCAGTGCATAGCATATGTGCCGTAGACAAGCCTGACCTTTGAAAAGCACTTCACTTTAATCAGTACTTGCAAGTACTTGAACATGGACTTTGTGATTCCTCAGAACACACAACAGCTCAGTTAAATACAGTGGTGCCTCGCTTAACAATTACCTCACTAAATGACGAATCCGGTTTACGATGAAGTTTTTGCAATCGCTATTGTGATCGCAAAACAATGTTCCTATGCGTAAAATTTGCTTAACGATGATCGGTTCCCTGCTTCAGGAACCGATGTTTCACTAGACGACGATTTTAAAACAGCTGATTGGCAGCTCTAAAATGGCCGCCCGCTGTGCAAAATGGCTCCCCGCTGTGCTTAGGACGGAGTCCTCGCTTTATAGGCACCAGAAAATGGCTGCCCTATGGAGGATCTTCGCAAAACGAGCAGGTATTTCACCCATTGGAATGCATTGAACCGGTTTTCAATGCATTTCAATGGGTTTTTTAATTTTGCTTGACAGTGATTTGAATGGAACAAATTATCCTTGTCAAGTGAGGCACCACTGTAGTAGTACTCTGTAGTAGCCAGTTAGTAGCCTTTCCACTCCTCTGGATTTAGCCAAACCTTGCTGGTCCAAGAGGCTAGTCCTCAATGAGGATTTTTATAATTATTTTTTATTAAGAAAATAAAGATTCATAGAAACAGTTTGTTTGCATAAGCTGTAGCATAATAACTTGTTCAAAGGTTACAATAGTTAAATAAAGCAGTTATTTCTTATTAAAAATAGGAAACACTAAGATCTAAACTGTGGTGGGCTAATCCCACCCCTCCTTCTCCTTACCATTCTACATTCTGTAAACATCCAGCTACATAATGAAATCCATCATCCATTCCTCTCAGCTTGGTATAAGCTAAAAGAGAGCTCTCAACATGACCTGAAGGTGAATTTCTACAAATAGGCTGAAGACACAGTTATTCTCAGAACAGAATATTCACCTGACAAAACCTATCCAGAAAAACCATTTCAGAGCAGTATACTTTTTCCCAGGCTTCTCCTGTTTGCTGATTCCTAACAGCACAACAGAGGGATGAAAGTTTAGTCCGACCCCAGGGAATGACCGAACAGAGAAAGTGAACAGGAGTTTAACAAGGGAGTTCAGCAGGGGAGGCCCCTAATAATTCCCCCTAATTTAGTTTCTGTATACAGTCATGTGAAAAAGAATGTATACCCTCTTTAAATTCTATGGTTTTAAGTATCAGGACATAATAAAAGTCATCTGGTCCTTAGGAGGTCTGAAAATTAGATAAATACAACCTCAGATTAACAACAACATATGACATATTACACCTGCTTCTGCTTGGTCATCTTCCAAAAGACAGTTTATACTCCTCCAGGTAAATGTGAAGTACAAAAGGAGGGGATAGAATTGCAGCTTGAGATTGAGAAACAAACAGTTAAGGAGTACCTTATTATAAATTAGTTAAGATCCCCAGAGTAGGATGAGCTGCATCCAAGGATATTGAAGGAACTGGCTGAAGAGGTTGCAGAACCACTGTCTATTATTTTCTTGAAATCAGAGGATGGGTGAAGTACCAGATGACTGGAAGACAGCTAATGTCCCAATCTTCAAAAATGGCAAAAAGGTGGAACTGGGGAACTACAGACTGGTAAACCTGATATCAATCTCAGGGAAAATTTTGGAGCAGTCACTCTGCAAGCACCTTGGAAACAATGCAGTAATAACTAGAAGCCAACATGGATTTGTCAAATCCTGCCAGATTAATCTCATTTTTATTATTAATCTCATTATTATGTGGATGGTGGGAATAACATACAGTATATTGACTTCAGCAAAACTCCATGAAATTTTGATTAGCAAGCTAGTTGTGGGCTGGATAGAACAAGTGTCGGGGATACACAGTTGGTTACAGAACTGTACTCAGAGAGTATTTACTTACAAATGGCTCATTCTCAAACTGGGACAAGGTAACAAATTGAGTATCCCAAAACTCAGTTGTGGGCCCAGTGCTCCTCAACATTTTAATTTGTTTAAATTATTTTTAATTAATAAAAAAGAAAGTTACAAATAACAATTAAAACTAAAATGCAAACTCAGTAGTGACTACACACAATAAACATTTCCCACTTGTGCCACTTTCACTCTTGGGACTAGGTGACCAATAATATCAATTGGTACCACTTTTCACCTCATTCCTCTCCAAAAATCCATTGATTCTTCTGCTGGCATACAGCCTTTCCCCTTCAAAAACACATATTCTAAGTATAAATTCCATACATCTTTGAAACCGTTAGACAGTGGAACCTCTTCTTACGAACTTAATCCCTCCCAGAATATATTTGTTAGTTGAAACGTTCGTAAGTAGAAGTAAAATTTCCCATAGGAATGCACTGAAAAATGATAAATCCGTTCCGGCTATTTTTGGTTCTTATGTACGCCGTTCGTACATTGAAGCATTAGTTCCCATAGGAACTAATCCGTACTCTACCACTGGGGAGGGGGATATTTCTTCTTTTGACCTAAGATGAATTTAGGTCAAAAAAGGGCAGGAAAGGAGGGGGGGGGAACACCCTTTAAACAGAACCAACCCAAGCAGCTTTTAGGTTAAAAAAAAACAGCAGGAAAGGAGGGAGGGAGGGAGGGAGGGAACAATGGGGAAAAGAGGAAAGAAAGAAAGAAGGTAATCACTGGGGCACACAGACCCCTCAGACAAAGCTTTGTGCTTTTAAGCACAAAAAGAGGGAAGACAGAGAGAGAGAAGACAAGGGGGAAAAGTTTGGAGTCTAAAACACATTTTAAACCCACACATTTTAACAACAACATTTTAAAACCCAGCAACTTTTAAACAAAACACATTTTAAAACAAAACAAGCAACTTTTAAACCTACCCACCAACACCTTATAAAACAAAAGAGAAGCCACTTAGCTTTCGGTGTCTTCTGGAGGACATCATGGTGACTTCTGCCTGGAGGATGGTGAGATGGTCACTGCGAGGTAGAGATCCCCCTCCTCTGGGTCATCTTCTCCAGGGGTTCCCTG